CGCGCGGGAGTGCAGAACATCCATGATCCCTGAGGGTCATGCTCTCAAACTGGCTCAGTCCAGATGTTTCTATTGCGTGTCCAGTGTGGACGCGATGGGGTGGTCAAGCGACACACGCAGCACCATTCTGGCCCGGTGCACGAGGCCCCATAGTGCGACAGCCGCGTTGTTTCCTGTGCAGCGGCGTGTTCAACAAGAAGCCTTTGTTGATTTGTTTCCCCAATTGGCGTCCTTGACTTCGAAGAGTAGAATGCCAAGGCTGCCCTCGAAAAAGCACGACAGTTAGCAAAAAGTCGAACGAGACAAATGCTGAAGTTGTTTCGATAGAAGGCCCACAGGTAGTCGAATCTGACGGCTCTATTACTCCTGCAGTGTCCTTTTGGTTAGTTCGTTTGTTTAAAACTATATGGCCATGGGTCAAAATCCAATCGGTTAGCCCCCAGTGAACATCAACCAATCCAACCACAAAAATAGGTTCTTTATGTGGGTGGTGAATTCACCTACACCAAAATGGGATCAACCACAACGGTTTTGACCACCACCGCATGGGTTCACCACTGCTTTGGGTCCCCAACTCCCGGGTTCCGCTTCTTCGGGCGCATGGCGGAGCCTGCGGAGCGGGTGCAGGCCGCGTCGGGGGGGAAGGAAATGGATCGTTCAGAGGTCCGGAGTTGTTGGCATCGATTTTTATTATTATTACTTTTTCGTTTAGGCCATGGGAATTGACCCGTTGCATTGATTCAGGGCAAAGCCAAAGAGTTGGTTTAAAGTTGAAACCATCCCTAGGAGCCACTTGGACCCATATGGCCTTGAAACCCCGAAGGCCTCCAAATGAGATCTTGGGCTCCCAGGCCATGGTTACATCTGACCTCCGATCCAAAGCGTTTCATGGCGAGCTCGCTGATCCAAACTCAAACCTCCCGATTGTCTTTGAAGGGAACCTCCTTGGAAAAGCGGACACGGGGATTTGGATTTCAACCCATAGCTTCGGTTTCCTTTTGGTTTCTCTTTAAAACTAAGGTGAAAAGGGCAGAGAGAGAGCCTCAGAGAGTGTTTACCCTTCCCACTACCCGCTCTCCCGTGGGAGCCAAGACGATGCAGATTTTCCCCATGATGAGAAACAGAAAGAGTCGTCCAGAAGAAAATGCCACAGAGTCGAACGGCAGCGGAAAGAGGGAGGCCTAGAGCCGTCGGCCGCTTTGGCAGACAATCGCAGCACATTGGCACTAGCCCGGTCTTCGAGACCGGGTGCTGTGCTTCACATATCCTCTGAACTACATGTGATTGTTGTTGAAGAGCTATTTGATAATCCGATTCTCACTGTTCCAAGCCCACCAGATTGAGTTGCGAGATTCCTGGGGATCTCCGAGGGTTTGGAAGACTTCGATCGGACCGGTCCCTTTTTGAGCGGAGGGCTGTCGAAACAGGCCCACATTTGGAACAGGCTTCCCGTGTTTTGGGGTGTGCGCGAGTTTCATTTGGAGCCCTGTGAGTGTCGGCTCAACTGCTCAACTCTTTCTCCGCGTGGGGGGTTTCCGGACGATGTTTTTGGGCCGTTTTTTTTCTTCCATGTCCGGGAGGGGAACCCCCCAAATTTGATGGCCAGCAGAGGGTACCCAATCAAAGTCCCACGTGCGTTGGCAAGTTGAGTCGACCTCAAGAGGATGTTGGACAGGATACTAGGAAATACCACTATGTTTCGTGTGTTTGGCTGGGAAGTCTCCAACTCTTTGTTTGAATAGGCACCTGGAACCGGCCCTGCGGCCAACAACTGCAGTCTCGCAAGGCTTTCGTTTTGGTTTTGGAAGCCTTTGGTCTTGCGTTGGCCCGACCAAAAGAGAGTCCAACAAAAATGCTCTGGATGCCCCCCCCCCGTCTTAATGGGGGATTTCCTGCAAGCGGTGGAATCAACTAGGGGGCTCTTCCTACAAGGGGTCTATGAACCAACTGGGCTTCCACTCTGTACAAGAGGCACATGGTCAAAGTGATGGGGTTGCTTGAGTTAAAAGCCTGTTGCCTTTAAGACCCACTGCGCCAGCTTAACGGCTCGGTTCCTCCAATCCGACCCTCAGCGCAAGGTGCGAAAAAGAAGATGGGCCGAACATCACAGGGCGGTGGGTCTGAAAAACATGCCGGGCACCCGCCGAAAGGGTCTGTGTGTTTTTTTGCATTGGTTTTCTCTGGTAGACGCCTTCATGGTTCGGTTTGTCTGGCCATTTTGCATGAAGCCAATGGCTGAGTGCGTAAGAAGTGGACCAAGTCACGAGGTTGGCTCAAACGGGGGTGTTTTTCCTTCTAAAACGCCCCGAACTCTCAGTTTCCTTGAGCTGCGGAGGCGCTACCTCGCTTCAGCCGTGTGGAGGCGGGTGGTCGACTGGGGGGGGGGGGTGGCAGCAAAGGGCGATTCCAGGACAAGCTACGGCGGCCGCAGAGGCAAAACAAAAAAAAGCACGCGGGTCCAATGTTGTCAGGGGAATTTTTGCCATCCACGGGATTCGGGATCTCCATCTTGATACCAAATGTGTTGGTTGGGTTGGTCAGAGGACATTTGAGTCCCCAAAATGGGAGCGGGCATGGGGCGAGGCACCGCATATGGATGGACCAACAATTGTTGCGCCCAAAACTCTATTGGTGCATGTCTCAAGTGGCACTTTTTGTCCCCGAATTCTTGGGGATGGCCAGTGACATCTTGTAGATCGGGCTTCAACACACGACAAGGCTGGCAGGTGAATGTTGGGCCGCCATCCCCATCGCGACTCAGGGAATGTCCTTTTGCGGAATGATGCTTTGCCTACAATCATGAAAGCTGACAGGAGGGAATTGGAAGACTACTTTCCTTCTGGGCATGCCTATGGCATCCCCACTTCTATGATTGGAAGGAGGGTCTCCTCCTGCCAAGAAGCATAGTTTGCACCTGGGTATCAGTTTTCTCCGGCTTCCAGTGGCCCGAAGGGCCAGAACCGTTCCTTTGAGTTGTCTCGGAAAACAGATGGATCCCGGTTTCAACGTGGGCATGTCCAGTGGATTGGTTCGTTTTGTTGTTGTATAAAACACCCCTTGTTGATTTTCTTTTCTGCTTTGTTGCACCTAAAAACCTTGGCCATTTGTAAAAGCCCTTTTTTTTCCTCTGCCACGGGGCCCTTCTGTTTTCATAAAGGCCGCGGTTTCGATATACAGCCGTTCTTTTTTGGGCGAACCGCTTGGGCGAGTTGGGGCAAGCCAATCCGCAGAGACCCAAAGCGACACGAGACGATGGGCGGCGATCCGAGGTGCCAGGGAAGGCCAAGAACTTGGAGGAGGCTGTGGCCGGGCGCCCCGGAGGCTCCGGCCACAGGGACCCGAGACCTTGAACCTTTTTTTTAATGATAATAATAATATGTTTTTCTCCCGCTTCTTTCTCTTTTTGGTTTTTGCTTTTGCTTTTCCCGGGACAGTTGGACGCAAGACGACTTCAGGGGGCTTTTCCAGTGTCGTTTTGTAATTGCATGAGCGGACGGTGCTTGCGGGCCAAGCCCTTTCTGGTTTTTCCAGGATGGGCAATCGAGCCGCAGCTTTGTTGCATGCCTGGACCCTGATGGCGCCTTCAGGATGTGTCTTTCTTTTCATGGACCCCCAAACCCAGATCGGTTGGGAGAGTGTTGAGGGTTTGGTACGGAGGTGTGCGGGTCAAATTGGTGGCTGCAAGCCCTTCTTGGGTAGGTATTCGCGAGCGCCCACACCCCCAAGCCCTTGGCGCCAACCCAAGTCTGGTGAATGGGTAAGGACACGGGGGGAGGGGGGGGGAAAGGGGGCGGCTCCGGAGGAGGCAGTTCACAAGATACTGGGGGGACCATGCTCTTAACTTTCTCAGAGAAGTGTAATCAACCGATTTCACCTAATCCTTTCTTGGACCCGGTGCCTCCCGGTGAACCATGACTTGACATACCGTTTTATCCGGCGGCTTCTTTCTGGCCGACAGGTGATTGATGTCCCCCACTTGTCACAGTCCACGGGACGCTCACAGGGCGACTTGCCGCATGGTGGCTGGGCCTTCTCAAATGTGAAGTCAACATGTCAGGGTTTTTCGCTCATCAATTCGTGTTCCAGGTGTTTGGGCTGCAGGTTGCATTGGGTTACAGTTTGCCTTGGCTATTTGTTGTTGTGATAAATAGCACGCAATACTTTGGTGTCCTTGCAGGGAGTTACAAGGTTGCCAGCCAAGACTTGCAAAATGGGGCGGGGGCGAGCTTGAAATAACACGGGTCACCCGAAGTCCCGAATATGTTGGCTTAGGCTCAACTCCCCAAAACGTGTCCAAACCCCGCATTCATTAGAGCTAAACAAGTGTCCGACTTCCTATACAAGTCTCCAGCTGCCCAGGGTCAACTCCCCGATCCATTTCCCACCTATTTTCTGTTTTTTCCGTTTGGTTCTTCGGAGACCAACCACTCCCATTTCGAGCTCTGATTTCCGAGGCGGCGGTGGGTGGGCGCAAGGCGGTGGCAGAGGCTCTGGATGGCCAGGGCAGGCGGGGCAAGGGCACCGGAGCTTGTGGTGATACTTGGCTTCGGAGAACCGCATTGCCTGAAAACTGGCTGGTGCGACAGGGGAATGACCTGCTTCCGGGCCTTGGGAATGAATTGGGGAAACGGGAGCTTCCCCAATTCCAGCTTTTCTAGTCCCAGAAAAAAAGAGTGTGAAGCCGCAAATGCACATCAGTCAAAATCCATTGGCTCCCCTTCCATTGGCTGAAAGCTGGCTGAGGCTATAGGGAATGATCTTCTAGGTTTTGGGAGTGAACCGGTTTTAGGGGATTCCCGAATAAAGAAAACCATAGGGGATGGTTTGTAGGGGTCAAGTGAGAAGAGGTTTCTGCAGGAAGAGAGTGGACAACCCCTTATTTTGCTTTCGTCCCGGTACCCGCTTAAAGTGGTTGCACGGTCTACTTTCACCATCATAGGTGTCCTTTTTGGTTGTTTTGGCCGAAAAATAGATGGGTTTCCCTGGTTTACCTGGTGGTTTAATCTCGTCTACCAGGGAAACCCATCTATTTTGCCTAGAAGGACAGCTATGTTCACCATGGTGAAACAGGTTACAACCACGGCTTTTTCTGCGGACGGGGACAGAATTCACGCGAGGCACCAGCCGGGATGGAACTGGTACCCTACTGTTGGTTGCGAAATCCTCTTAGGCACCACCGTTGAGAAACCCTATGATATTTGATCCCCTGTAAATACCAACAAGCCCATGGTTTCAACCATTGGTGTCTTGGGTGCGAAGTGGATTTAGTCCATCCACAGTGTGAATGCTGCGATACACAACCTACCAACTGCTGCGAATCTGCGAGGTGGATTTTGTCCATCCGCAGTATGTCTGTTGTCACAGTTATAACCATGGTTGCAGCCTACATGGGTTTGCTTGAATTTAGCGGGACCCCCAAAATCGGTGGTGTCCTTGCGGTTTCTTTTAAACCATCCCAAGAAAGGGGTCCCCTCAAAGTGTTCGGACGCGGCATTTTTTGACGGGGGCTTTTCTTGCTGGTGCGATAGGCAGGGAATGAGAAATGGAATGACCCCAAGATAAACCATCCAACTGGTGGTTTCATTTAAGGGGACCACAGCCTGCGTTCATTCCCAGCTTTGAGCATCCAACTGGGATTTGCTACCGGGAAATCCGCGCCAGGCTGCGCTTCCGGCTGTGCAGGCAGTACCAGTTCCAGGCGAGCCGAGAGACAGAAGAGTCGGAATGAGTCGGGCCTCCGATTGGTTTGGTTTGTTGGTTTGTTGGCTGGTTGGCTGGTTGGCTGGTTGGCTGGCTGGTTGGCTGGCCGGTTTGTTGGTTTGTTGGCTGGTTGGCTGGTTGGCTGGTTGGCTGGCTGGTTGGTTGGCTGGCTGGTTGGTTGGCTGGCTGGTTGGTTGGCTGGCTGGCGGTTTGTTGGTTGGTTGGTCGGTCGGTCGGTCGGTCGGTTAGTTGGTTTTGAGGTACCCGCCCTCTTTCCAACAATGCGGTGGCTTCCGTTCGGGCTTCGGGACAAACACGGAGATAAGTCTCCTCCAAAACCCTCCTGTCAGCTTTTATGACTGGAAGGAGGGTAAGCGAAACCAAAAGGAAATGCGGCTGGATAAGAATCTGTAAGGATCTGGCCAGTGTCACTCACATTCTTAGACAGCTATTGTGTTTTTCAAGCAGGTATATGGGACATTTGGCGCTAGCGACACTGAGATTCTTAGCAGATTCTTGTACGAGCAGTCATTCTCCCACCGAATTAGAAATTGAGATGTAGTGTCAAATTAGCCTCCCAGGCAAAGGAGGAAAGGCTGCTGATGACCCGCCCAGTCGGGAGCGCATACCATGAGATAGCGGACGAGAAGTACAATCGTGGTTGGCGAGAGTACTGGTTGAAAACTGGGTGCTTGATGGCCAGAGATGGGCCGCCTGGGCAGCGCATGGGCCCGTTGTGGCCACAAGCCAGAAAGATGTACACTGGGCAACCAGGCTTTGAGCTTGATGGTGAGGATAGCGATGGCTCTTGGTCCACTTCGAGCGGGTCTTCTAGCTCTTCTAGCCCCAGCTCCGCCAAGCCCCAGCCTGCTTCCAGCAAGGCCAAGGCCAAGCCAAAGGCGAAAGCAAAGGGCCGGACAACCCAAAACTTTTATCAAATTTATAGACAAAATGGTCCGACAAACACTCAATACTCAATATCCCTCTGAGCTTTGGCTCAGTTGACCTGAAAGGGGTTTGCGAGTCGATCGACAAAGACGGCATGGCCAAGATTCTTACGATGACAGAGGGTGTGAAGGTTTTTACCTTGAAAATACTTGCTGCTTGACTAGCTCAGCCCTGTCCAGAAAAGTTGCAGCAGCTGTCAGGATAAGAAACTAAGGTAAACGGCTAGTGACACTCAAATTTGTAGTTGGCCAGCGTTGTTTTGGGAGGCCACCGGGATGCCGAGTATCTCAAGTTCTTAACCAACAGATTCTTGTACAGTGGCACTGCTGTATCCAGTTTTTCTGGTTTATTATGGGTACCGTTTTCGTTGTTTGGAAGGGAACCAAAAGGAAAGCCGGCGCCATTTTTGGGTCCAAATCCCCATTGTTGACATACGAGCTTCGACCTTTCAACCCTCTTTCGAGCGACAACTTCTGCTTCCCAGCAACTAGCAACAAGCGAGCAGCCTTTCTTTGCATGGGGTGCTTGAGACAAGCCCGAGGAGCGCGGCATCAGGATGGCACGACGGGAGGGGTTTGCTGCGATTTTCCATCACTTCCAGCAGGCACCCTTGCAGCAAAGCTTCGCTGTATCCACGCCTTCCAATGATAAGCGCACCCGCTGAAGTGCGTCCGCTCAGAACTGTATCCACGCCGCAGGGTTCAATCCACGAAAGACGTGGGTGCCTGGGGCGCGGCAACCCCGAACCTGCGGAGTTGTGCCCAGCACGTTGCTACCCCAGCTGAACGGGCATGCGAAGACACATGCCGCGGGTGACGCGCAATTTTCTATTCAGGGGGTCGTTTTATAGACTTATTGTCATCGTTTTTTTCCCTTCGTTCATGACCGGACTGTAGTATATACCATGGGGGACTTGGACGGTTTCCAGTTGGGGGACGTTTGGTTTGCGATTTCTCGTTGGGTTGGGGCGGGTGTTGGAGGGACCGGGATACGTTTGTGCCAACCTAGGGAGCAAAACTGAACCCCAGCCCCAAAAAGGCGATCCCCAAGGTGGGAGTAACCCCTACCCAGCAACGTTTGGTTTCCTTTTAAGGCGCGCAACGAGCCGCAGAAGACCTCAAAGAAGACCCCCCTCAGGCGCCTCTGCCCATGAAGCGGCACCGCACGCGGGGGCGCCCGGAAACCGGCTGACGGTTCAGAGCGGCTTCGGCGAGGGTTTCGGAAGGGTTCCGGAAGTTGCGGTTTGTTCACCCGGGCATCACGAGGCGTATCCCAGCCACTGCACGTGCAGTGGAATAGTCCAACTTGCAAGGGATGGTCTCTGGTCTCGCGTGCAGCGGCAAATGGGTCGTTCTGTTTTGAATGGGACCATTTCGGTACGTATCCCATTGTCGTTAGCGGCTGGGCTGAAGACTCTCAGGGTAGGCCTTTGGCCTTTGGCCCTGAATCGGGGCCGATACCCGTGTGTTATTCGAAAGAAGGTGGGCCAACTTGTGTTTTCCTGAGGCGTCTTTGAGTTTGTGTTTGTGCTGTTTGAAGTTTTTTGTTTTTGTTTTCTTTTCCGGGTGGTTTTAAAGGGAAACCAAAGGGGCACCAGCCATTTTGCGGGGGCCTTTGACACATATCCTTGTTCCTCTTTGGGCCTAAAAGGTGCGAGTCCAGCATCTCTGGCAATCTGAGAGCCAAGGCTAGAGAATTGGTTTGCTTGCAAAGCCAAGAATCTGCCCCAAGATCTTTGGGGAGCAATCTGAACGGGCAGACAGCTTGGATCTGAAAACCGACTAGCGACTCAGCGAGTCTTCCGGTCGGTTCCATGCGCTTCTCAGTATCCTTTCCGATCCCGAATGGAGAGGATGAATGTCCGTTGCCCCATGCTTCCATTTTCTAGAGTGCTCAAGGTGATTCCAGAGAGACATGATCATGACTTGTCATTTTTTCCAACGGACACCAGGAATCCAAAACTGGACGTTGCAGGTCCATGTGACTCAGAGCTCCCCCAAAAATTCCCCTTAGAGCATCACCCGACCAAAACAAGGCTCAGTGGCATCCAAAAGGTGATGTTTGGAAGAGGTAGCTGGTTTTAGCAAAAGGAACACCGTTTTTCTAGGGGTACCTTCCATGTCCATTCTTTCCAGGGATCCGAATCTTTCTAGAAAGCCACCAAAAAACCCCGGGGAAAGGCCAGTTTTTGCAAGGAACCGATGGCTGAAAAGAATGGGCGAGGAATCAACCCCCAGAGTTTTGGTCCATGAAGAAAAAGAGACACCCAAAAGTCCCAAAAAGAAGCGTTGCCCGGCCGGTTTCGGAGGTCAGACCTACTGGTGCGCGCCAAGCGGAAAGCTGATGGGACCTGGGACCGGTGCTCAAGCGCAAGTGGGGAATGTGGGGAATGTGGGAGATGCGGTGGGGGAGTTGGTTGGTGGGTTGGTGGGTTGCTGGGTTGGTGGGTTGGCTTGGTTTGTTTGTATGCTTGTTGGTCTGTTGGCGTGTTGTTTGGTTGTTGACTAGTTGGTTGGTTGGTTGGTTGGCTGGCTGGCTGGCTGGCTGGTGGGGTGGTTGGTTGGTTGGTCGGTCGGTCGGTCGGTTGGTTGGCTTGTTGGTTTTGAGGGGTACCCTCTTTCCAACAATCTTGGAAGTAGGTTCTGGGGACCTCCCTGAAAAGGGAGGTAGTCTTCCAACCCGCTGTCAGCTTTTATGATTGTTGCAGCGAGGGCAAGGGAAACCAACGGACATGCCCCTTGCTTGGCTCAATGGGGGATATCTTATCAACTTACTATGTAATCGTTGTTATTATTATTTTTTGTTTATTTATTTATTTTCTCTTATCCATCCATTTATTTAGTTGCTTATTCATTGTTTGTTATTAGTATTTCTTAACAGAACATCATCTTTTTTGCATTATTATTTAGTTGTGTTATTGTTTTTGTTGTAGGGCACGCTCCGAAAAGCAGGGCTCGGCCCGCCCCATTTTTTCCGCCGGATCCGGAGGACTGCCAGCCCGTGGCCTGGGTGGCGACCTCCTTCCAGACGGAGGCGATCTGAGTGTTGGAACCCGGCCGTGGATGGTTGCGAGATCCAGGCACCACACCCACGTGTTTGTTTGTTATATATATTTTTTATATATTGTATTTAAATAGAGAAAAAGTAACATAAAAGGGGACCCCCTTTTTGGGTTGGTTTTAAAGGAAAACCAAGAGGACACAACTGCGTCTAAAACTTTTTTTGAGACAAACCCATACGTTGCGAAATCCAGAGATCGCACTACGAATTGAACCCATGGTGAGCACCATAACGTTGGTTGGTAGAAAACGTTGGGGCATCGAATCATTCCGTTCGGTTTCTGAATGGTGGTGCGAAGTGGATTTCGTTCATGCGCAGTAGGGTGTTCCCTCAAGTGAACCCACACCCCCTAGCAACAATCGACCGGTTCATGAATGCGGGATTTTCGTTGGAGGGGGCACTTAAAATAGACCCCAAGCAGGTCCAGGTTCTAATCAACGGGTTCCGATTGCCTGCGCCCGACAGGAACCCCTTGGTCAGAACCAATTTCGGGCCACCCAAGTTGGAACCCAGTTCGATGGCATGAGAATCACGTGTTTGTGTAGCCGGGAAAATTGTGTGGTTCTGGGCATGGGTGCGCAAGCTCGAACTGCCAAAACCAAGACCCATGTCCATGTGCATATTTTGACAGCGGATGAGATGGGTGATGTTTGCTTTTTTTAATTTGGACATAAGAGCGGATAGAGGCTTAATCGCTTGTGGTGGCTTTTATCTACTGCACCGACTCTGAGGCAAGGTAAAAGATATGTTTGGTGTATTTGTGTAATCGATCTGGTAAAATTGGTATGTTGGGTGTTTGGATTCCAGGTTGCAGACCTGAACCGGCTTGCAGCTGGAGCTTCCAGCGCTTGGACATCCTTCTTGGATGTTCAACAAACTTAGCCAGCAGGTTATAAAACCATGTTTGTCAGATGGACCGCAGAGGTTGGTGGAAAAAATATATATATATATATATATGCTACCCCCCCCCTCAACGACTCTGTTTTTTTTGGTGCAGTGAGTGCTTGACTGACAGATGGTAGCAGATGATTTGCTTGTGTTTGATTGACAGGTGACAGCAGAAGATTTATGTGTGTGTTTTTTTGGTGCAGTGAGAGCTTCATTCAGTGGAACTTTACTTGGAAAGCAGGCAGTGAGACGCACTTCGCGCTTTTTTGTTTTCTGCTGCAGAAAACTCTCCCTATTTCTGTACAAAAGGAGCCATTGCATCCTTCACCAGATCTCCAGTTTTGATCCAGAGATCTTGGCCCCGCATCCAGTACTCATACTGGGCTGAACGAATGCGGCTCCTGATTGCTTTGGACCCAGCTCGAACCCTTTGGTTCAATTTTAACCGGTCCTTAATAAACCGCCAAGCCCTGTCCACGTGTTGGGTGCCTGCTTTTACCTTCAGCTGGGTTCCATCCCGGAGCCTGTGAGTCACCACTCGCACGTATTGCGGGGAGCTCCATTTCTTTTCCCATTCTTGAGTGTGATCAGCTTCTTGCAGTGGACAACTGAGTCATGGTGCACGCCATCCACCTTGGCCTTGTAGGCTTTGCCGAGTCCGTATGCAGGATGACATGGCGGCCCTGCAAGTGCTTCTTGGCTAACGGGGCCCAGTCAATTTTGCGGATTGCCCCCGGCCCCGGAGCTCTCCGCACCGTCAAGGCTGGGCTAAGGCGTGACATGATGAGTGTAGATGGCTTGCCGCGGGCCATCATGCCACTCCATTGCTCCCACAGGATGGGCTTGCCTGCCTTGACCGCCTCCTTGTACGCGACGTCCTTGGTCATATCTGCTTTGTCAAAGGCGCACTCATCAGCTTCCACATCCTGCCACTGCTTCTTGCCACCAAAGGAGATCTTCTTCTCCTCCTGCTCGACAAAGAGCTGCCTGGTATGCGCTAGGCTGGATCTCATTTTTTCAATGAGCTTGTGATTCACACCCAAGGCCAACCTGATCTGGGTGTGGGAAGCACCAATGAGGATCATGAAGAGAACTGCCGCCTGCATCTGCAAAGGAGTAGAGCCAGGGCCACGGCCAGTAGTGAAGAAGGGATGCAAGTGCAGCGGGCTGACAATACGTTTGCAATGATAGTTGTTGCATTGGTACTTTGCACTGCCGCAATGCATCTTGGATGCAAGAGTGCCTTTCCAGCATTGGGGGCAACGCTTACCGTGCCATTTTGGAAGGATGCCGTCCTTTTCCAAAATCTTGGTAATCCCACTGTTGCTAGCACCCAGGATCTCAGCGAGGTTGCGCTTCCACTTAGCTCGATCCATGCGAACACCAGCTGCTGGTACATCTCGGTGACCTCGCACGTACTTCACTTTGTTATACTCCTTGCTCTTCTTCGTGGCTGGCCTCTTGTGGACACGACGGAGCTTCCCCCGCTTGCTCACAACCCCGGGGTTGAGTCGAGCTGCCATGTCACAATCGCAGTAACTACGAGCCCTAGGTGATTCAATGGCAACACAGTGCAAGGCAAGTCGGAAATCAATCAAGGTTGCACTTGCAATTGCAGTCTTGCAGCGAGCTTATTTTTTTCCGCGGGCACACAGCTTTCATCTTTGAATTTGAATTTTATGGCAGTAGTAACCACTACTCACCAAGCAAGAGTATAGATTCTCGCAGCATAGCCCAACACTCAGAACTCAAGCAGGTTCACGCTCTAGTCGTGGAGAAAGTGGCTTGCATCCTCGTCTGCAGCAGTGTCCTCCATGTCGGCTGTTTCTGCTGCAGCCAGAAGCTCTTCAGGCTCTGCACATTGGTCGGCATTTTGCGGTTGTGGATCACCAGAGGCAACAGATGAGGCTGCTCCTCCCCCGCAAGAGATGAGCAAGCTCGTTTTGTGCCGGAGGCGCTTGTCCGGCTTGGAGTCTGGGTAGATGAAGTCGCCCTCTCGCAAGCGCTTTGGCGCGTTGCAGCCGATGTTGAGAGGCACCGGCGGCAGGAGAGGCGGGTCCTCTGAAGACTGAGAAGTTGGCACAAAGGAGCTCTCTGGGATGCGTGCCACCTGCTTGAGAGCTTCTTTGAGATCTTTGTTGCATCTCTCCACATAGTCTTGTGCTCGGCCTGCCTGCTGTAGCTTCATCATGCCTTCATCGATGATCTTCTGCTCCTTCTCCACCTCGCTCTCATAGTAGCTTCCCTTCACCATATCACCCAGCTTGTACGCAGCATACACAGGCTTGTCCTTGGTGGCAAGGAGATCTTTGTGAACATCGTCTGCCACAATGCGATGGACAAGGGCACCATAGTTGGGGGACGGGAAGCGCAAGTAGAGACCATTCTGCCCGAAGACCATGACAATTGTCCGCTTAAGCACTGCCAGCACGTCTGCTTGCTTGGACTCTGGAAATGTTTTGCGGAGCAACTTGAAGAACTCGTCGGGCTCGATGTCACTGCGGTAGGTGTCCTCAGGCTCATCCCCCTCACCGATGTCGTTGGAAGCATATGCCCTCATGCCATTTCTGACCAGCCTGACATCATTGTACCTGCCTGAGCAAGTCTGGTCTTCATCCGCAGTAAGGAACGATTTCATGTCGGCTAGATCGATCTTGTCCCTGGAAGGATCATCGAGAAAGACGGCCTCTTGTACCTGGGGGACTCGATGCCTGAAGTTGTCGAGAGATTTGGCTCGACGCCAGCCCGGCGAGGCTGTCAAAGAGAGACGCCGGACGTGGTAACGTCCAATTGCCATGGCAAGGGTGATCAAACAGGGTGTCTTGCCGACGCCTGGTAAGCCCACCATCATGATGCCATAAGTCAGCAACATCGGCATAACCATTGGCAAAAGAACATCAGACATGAAGGGCTTCAAGCTGAACATGGTGAGGGGGAAGTCAGTCTCAGGCTGCGCTCCGGCCAGGCCACGGCTTTTGTTTTGAGCCATGAATCTGACCTTTGCTTCTGGCCACCCAGAAACTGGTGTGCCAGAGCCCTCCTTGATGGAACATAGGATCCAATAGGTCTGTTCATTCTGCGAGTCACATTCTGGTGCATTGGCATTGATGAACACGCCTCGTCATCAGGTGCCCACTGAGAAGACTGAGCCCTTTGGAGAGGAGCCTTTTTTGTCAGGCTCGCCCACATCACGCGAAAGCCGGGAAGACGATCCAGTAAGGACTGGACAGCTTTGCGATGCGCCCATGGCCCAGGGCGTGACACAGGCACGAAGCCCTCTCCTGTGATCAGGCGCTGGGCGGCAGCAGCAGTGATCTTGTTGGCGAAGTGCAGAATTTTGATCAGAGACATTGTTCCATCATGGTGGTTTTCGATCATGACGCCCATGGTTGCCTTGGGAGGAAGAGGCCCTTGAAGACGTAGTGGAAAGGGTACATCTGCGATGTTGCCTTGTGACAGAAGCTCCCCAATCTGAGCAAGACCGCTAAATTCTGGCACATTCTTGTGGACATCGAAGGCTATGGAGGTCACTTTCGCTTCGTTCAAGTTGCGACATGAGTTGTCCAAGAAGTCTGACAAGAGGATGGGTTCTGAAATTTCCCCACGAGAGTGCCAAGCCATTTTGGGGGTGGTGTGGGTCTCATACACCCACTCTTTGCCGGAGTGTAGGGCCATGGCATCGTCTAACATGCTGGACATGGAATAAGAAGATGGTGTGCCTTAGGGGCAACTACTTGGGAACTCTAAGCTGGAAAGCAACAGGTTCACATATCAAACTCAGGAATGTCATGCATTCGTGCAAGCCATGATGTCCTGCTGCAAGCTACCACATCAAAAGGCAACCAAAAGCAGACATCTTTTTTGTCACCTCTCACAGGAGCAGATCCGGACAAGAGTATGTGCACATGTATAGTACCGTCTGCCAATGATGGCTATGTTACTTACAGAAGATTCTGAATACAGCTTGACAGCTATACAGGCTTCTACTTCCTGGCCCTCTTTGAGGCACGCTCCTCAGCCAAATGTGCCCTAAGCTCTTCAAGTTCGCACTCATATTGTTGAATGTCACCCTCCAAGATCTCAAT